TTCAATTAGAGGGTGTACGTTTTTCTTCAGGCTGTGTGTATCATATCAGAGTGAGCAGTGGGGTCTTCTTGCAGCTCCGTTCCACTTACCCAGAGAATCATGGGCTATCGTCTAAGATAGACTGTGAGCCAAAGTTTCCTACCTAGCTTACCCTAGAAAGACAAATGTGGAGACAAGTACCCTGTTCCCATTATATAATATAAAGAAGGAAAAGCCCCTCCATATTGCTTCCTCTGCGGGGAAAATTGGCTTCTCCAAACTAGAAACACCAGATCCTAATGACCTGAGAAGGCTGTCGAGGGCCAACATTATAGTCCTTGTTTTTAAAAAAGATACTTTTGGAAATGTGTATGTAAGAATGGATAGATAACAGTGGCTAACGATGAGTAGATAGTGGAACTTGGAAAATATGAGTATAGTAATCCCTAACTTATCAGTAAAGCTATATAACATTTGAACATGACAGTACAAACAGAATTATTTGAATATCTTGAGACATATTAGATGATTAAATTTTGTTTTCATTTCTATGATATTTTTCATTTTAGCATTAAAAAGAAGTTTACAGTGATGTTGGAATTTCTGTTTCATAGGTAAAGAACAGATACTAAAGTGAAATTGCAATGAAGTTAAAGTATTTTTTTTATTTAGTTGGGAAAACTCAAGCCACAATGTATATTTTGTCAACTGTCAACTAGAATAGGTATCCTACCAAGTACAGTCAGTATAATCTTTAAAACAGTGCTAATTGCGTATTTTTATCTCTTCTGAAGTAAATATTGGTGAAGAAAGACTTGATCATAATCTCGAGTAGCCTAAATTATAATCTTTTGATTGTCAATTGTCATGGGAATTCTTTGTGTGTACTGGATAACTGGTAATTAACTTTTGGAAAGTGATATGTCATATCTCACAAATTATGTATGTGTGTGTGTGTGTGTGTGTGTGTGTGTTGTTCATGCCTCTCTAAAAGAAAATTATTATGAAAACCTGCATTAAGATATGAGCTGTACTCTTTGATGTGTTATAATAATTTGAATAATTTGTATGTCACATTTAAAATATCTACAAATTTCTGTCTTCAATATAGGATTCAAACAAAACCTTTAGAAGGAAAAAGAGGCAACATCTTCTATAACTGTTGGAAGGAGAAGTTCAAAGCAATCAATTAGAATTTTTTTCTTTTTTAGATGATGAGATTTGGTATATAGTTATCTTTTTCTGCAGAAAATCCTTTAATGTATAATGAGTGAATTTTGCCCTTTGACATTGTCCCTTTGCTAGAGCAAGAAACTATAACTTTTCACTCTTTGGATTTTCAAGGAGGCTGGGCATGGAAGGCAAGAAAAAGTCCCTCAGGTCCATTTAACATGTCAGACACCAATACTACTATTGCTAATTGACTCACTCTGCATCCATATTAGGATGCCTATGTTACAAGGGATGGGATTTTCTCTATTCAATCTTAGAAACTTTACAGCACCCTGCCCTTGCCTATGTCTTATTCCATTTACGTATATCTTAATTTCACATCTTGTACATAATTAACTCACTGCTCCTGTTCTTTTTGAAAAGAAATGTGATTTCAAAACCCAGCCTCTTCGGTGCATTTCCAGCAGCCATACAACCCATACGAGGTCAAATAAATATTCACAGAATAAAGGCACTACTGCATTGCCAAGCAATTATTTTTAGGCATCTTACGTATCATTAGGAAGTACCTTATCATGGATGTACTGAAATAGATATCTATCATGGAGAGGACTAGAATGATCAATCAATGATATTGCAGCCTGATTTGTTCGTCAAGATTATGTCCAGCTGCATTGTACGATCAATTGCTTCAGAGCACCAATACTAACATGATCACATGATCAAAATCACCAGCATGATCTGTTGTAATTCTAATTTCATCCAAGGCTTATATTATTCTCTTACCACACATCCCACAGAGTAGACCCCTTGATAATTCAGAATGTTCA